AACTTTAAAGCTAATTAAAGGATATTTCTGAAGAAAACTGTAAAAATTGTTTTTATATCCATTCTTCTTATTTTTTTTAGTCGAAAAAAATTAATTGGCCGTTCATTGTTACCAAATACCAAACATTTGCTGGCCTAAACTTCTAAAATGTTCTATTCTTTGGGTCATATAAATACGTTGGGATTATACACCACTGAATTTACAAAGTTATTAATCAGGAGATTTATTTTCTTGGATACTGGGAAGCTGTTAAATGTATTTATTTACTATTTTATTTACCACTTTATAAAATCGTGGTTGTATCAACAATTTTTTATTTAGCTAAAAACAAAGCAGGCTCTCTTTTGAATTCCTCCAGCTGTGAGCACTGGAGAGACACAGAGCTGTGAAACTTCTCGTGTGTAAGTAATTCACACAAGCCGACTGTTGGTAGACAGATCCAACAATTATTTTTAATTTAATCTTTTAACCCTCAATGATCAATAAAATAAAAAAAAACACCAAGGATGCAGCACTGCTGGGGTTTGTAACATGTTGAAATATGCAGCAACTGAACAGCAAACTATTGAAAAAATATGCTGTAATGAAGGTCAGTAGGCTAAAACACTTTTCCTGAAGTGTCTTTTTACCAGGAATAATACAACTGAATCAAAAACAGCTTCCTCCACTGCACCTCGGTGACTAATCAAATCTTCTCTTGGCTGCTCCCTTTAGGGGTCACTATAGCAAATGATCTATTTCCCTTCCTTCAAACCTGTTACATTGTCTCCTGTCACACTAAAGCTCCAGATATTGTAGTACCTACATTTAAAGTCCTTAGTCTCACCTCTACGCTCCCAGTTTTCCTTCTGTCTCCAAACACACCTTCTCACTGTCTTCCTCCTCAGTAGCAAAGTTTTCACTGGTAACCTAGTAACTAGTGGTTGTTGTTAGCCTGGCCCTCGTCTGCTCTGGTTTGGAAATCTTATTGTTCATTCACTTGTTTAATTTGAACAAAGATTATACACTGGGTGCCCTTCCTGATGCAATCCTCCCTGTTAATCCTTGGACAGGACACTAGGAATAATCTGATTTATGGGCCCTGTGGTTGGCTCAAATACCCAAAAATAAACAAAGAAAATGTTCTGCAGCTTACCAAAATATGCTTTTCTCAAATCAAATCTTGTTCTAACTAATGGTGTAATGAGACCACTGCAATTACATTAAGACTCTATGCACCTTAAAACAAATTTACACAAGGCGACAAGCATAAAACTTCACTAAAAAAAACATACACTTGCCACTGTTATGCAAAAGCCTATCAGCTGAGATTCTCCCATCATCTGTCAGCACTGACAATTAGAAGAGGAAGACAGGCTTTTTTATTGCATTTTCAATTACTTCACTTTCATACAGAGAGAAAGAAAACAAAAAACGAGTGACGGTTTGCAAAAAACTGAGCAACTTCCTGGTAAGCTGTGAAAATATGTCACTATTAATTGATTC